GGAAAACTATGTTTACTATTCATGAAATGGAAGTGAATTGTTACAAAGACCTTCATCCTTGTTGTCTTCACTTTGTGGAGGAAGAGGAGAGGTTGGTCTTAACTATCTTGGGGGTGGCAGAGGTGGAAGAAAGTGGACCTGCATAGTTCACACCATGTTGTTCAAGGGTCAACTGTATATCTAAAGAAATCCATTTGTTTATTTGGTTGTTATATTATATTGTCTGCAAATTATCAGATATGTGGTTGGGCTAGTTGTGCATATTTCTAATATTCATTTAAAGTGAGTAATCTCTCAATCATTTAATGCTAAATATTTTAGAAGGACAGCCACTGGTTTTGAAATATTTAATTACGTAAGGATTGAATTGAGAATCTGAAATCGTCAGTGTACTTTCTAACTGATACAACTCTAGAAAGTCTTCATGTGCCCTGGAGTCCATAATAGAGCCAAATTAATAACCCTTTAATTAGAAAAACCCTAAATTGGCCGGATGCGGTGGCTCACGCCTGTAATCCTAATACTCTGGGAGGCCAAGGCGGGCAGATTGCTTGAGGTCAGGAGTTTGAAACCAGCCTGAGCAAGAACGAGACCCGTCTCTACTATAAATAGAAATAAATTAATTGGCCAACTAATATATATAGAAAAAATTAGCCGGCATGGTGGCGCATGCCTGTCCCCATACTCGGAGGGCTGAGGCAGGAGGATCGCTTGAGCCCAGGAGTTTGAGGTTGCGTGGGAGCTAGGCTGACGCCACGGCACTCACTCTAGCCTGGGCAACAAAGTGAGACTCTGTCTCAAAAAAAAAAAAAAAAAGAAAAACCCTAAGTTAAGGCTTAGTTTTACTCTGGGAACAAAGAATTGGCATTATCTGCATCCTAATAGAATTGCTAAAACAGTCATTTGTCTTCATGATGATAACCCAGATTTTTTTTATTTTGGTAAAATATATATAACATAAAATTCACTATTATAACCATTTTAAGTGGCATTAAGTGCATTCACAGTGTTGTACAGCTGTCATCACACTCTATTTCCAAATGTTTCCTCTTCCCAAACAGAAGCTCTGTCCCCATTAAGTAGTAATTCCCCATTCTCTCCTCCCCCCAGGCCCTGCTACTAACCTCTGTTGTACTTTTCTGTCTATGAATCTCACTGCTCTTGGTACCTCATATAAGTGGAATCATACAGTATTTGTCTTTTTGTGACTACTTTATTTCACTTAGCATAATGTCTTCAAGGTTCATCCGTGTTTTAGGATGTGTCAGAAGGTCCTTTGTTTTTAATGCTCAACAGGCTGTAGTCCGTTGTGTGTATGTCCCACATGTTGTTGTTTTCATCCATCCATTGGTAGACATCTCCCTTTTGGCCGTTGTGATAATACTATCTGTTAGAGTCTCTGCTTTCAATCCTTTTGGACATATAACCCAAAAGTGGGATTGCTGGATCATATGATCATTCTTGTGTAGCTTTTTGAGGAACTGCCAAAACAGCCACACTAGTTGCCGCAGTGGCTGTACCATTTTACTGTGCACAAGGGTTCCAATAATTTTTCCACATCCTTGCCAACACTTCTTATTTTCCTTTTTTTTTTTTTTTTGATAGTAGCCATTCGAGAAGATATGAGGTGGTATCTCATTATAGTTTTGATTTACATTTCCCTAATAGCTAAATGATGTTGAACATCTCTTCATGTGTTTATTAGCCATTTATATATTTTCTTTGGAGAAATGTCTATTCAAGTCCTTTGCCCTTTAAGTCTTGTTATTTGGTTTTTTGTTGTTGATTTGTAAGAGTTCTTTATATATTCTGAATACCCCTTTTCAAATATATACTTTGCAAATATTTTCTCCTATTCCATATATTGCTTTTTCACTCTGCTGATATGTCCTTTGATGTAGAAAGGTTTAAAATGTTCATGAAATCCAATTTATTTTTTTCTATTGTTGCCTGTACTTTTGTATCACATCCAAGAAACCATTGCCAAACCCAGTGTCATGAAGATTTCACTCTAGTTTTCTTCTAGGAGTTTCATAGTTTTACCTCTACAAAAACAGCTGCTTAGGTTCAAACCAGCCCTCCTGCCTACCCACCTACCTCCTGCCGTGCCTTACCCCTGTCCCACCACGCCAGCCAGGAAACACTGGCCTTGTTTCCTCCTGATTCACAGAATAAACATGAAATAAGTCCCTCGGCTCTACTCCTTACGATAGACACATCTCTGTGACAAGTGTTTTAACATCCAGATGGTGGCTTGTGCAGCTCAACTCATGAGGCCAAGGCCATGTGGAGTCAGTTAGCTTTTCTTCCTCTCAGTGAGGTTACTTATTTATTTTCTCCTTTTACAAAGCCCCAGTCGTCCATCTCTTGCCCACACTAAGTACTGAATGGGAGCTGTGGTGGCTCAGCAGAAATTCCTTGCTGTAGCTAAAGAAATGACTCAGAGACTCTCAGTCTCTCCAATTTTGTGGAAAGTACAAAATTCTCTTGCTAAACAAGTGTTTCTGGTAAAAGACAATCAGTATCTTGTTGAATTTGATTTCATTGTCTTGTGCCTTGGGCTCTGAGCCACCTGCTAAAGCCACACTGACTTTATAGCTGCTTCGTCACCAGCTGCTGCTCCTGCCCTAGTCTGTGTCTGTTCTGACTCTTCTCCCCCGAGAAACTGAAAGTGTTCAAAGGTCCAGTCGCCACATCCGGTCCAGAAGTGCCCTAGACCGGCCTTGGCATATAAGGACACACTAGAGCTCTGGTTCTGTTGTCTCTTCAGGTGATAAACTGGGAGAACACCCTCCACATCCCAGCGCAGGTGAAGCTGAGCCCCGAGGCCAGGGACCTCATCAGCAAGCTGTGCTGCGCCGCCGACCGCCGCCTGGGCAGGGGCGGCGCGGACGACCTGAAGGCGCACGCGTTCCTCGGCGCCGTCGACTTCTCGGGCGACATCCGCAGGCAGCCGGCGCCCTACGTGCCCACCATCAGCCACCCCATGGACACCTCGAACTTCGACCCGGTGGACGACGAGAGCCCGTGGAGCGACGCCAGCGAGGGCAGCGCCAAGGCCTGGGACACGCTCACCTCGCCCAGCAACAAGCACCCCGAGCACGCCTTCTACGAGTTCACCTTCCGCAGGTTCTTTGACGACAACGGCTACCCCTTTCGGTGCCCGAAGCCGCCGGCGGCGGAAGCCCGCCCGCCTGAGAGCGCCGACGCGGAGGGCGCCGGCCCGGGGGGCCAGGACGCGGGCTGCCGGCCGGTGTACGTGTAGGGGCGGGCGGCCGCGGCGGGGGGCTCCGGTGTCGGGCTGTCCCTTGCTTTCGTCGCTTGAGATTCTGCTCTTCGCCGAGAAAACCCAGAACGGTCCAGATGCTTTTTACAAAAGGACTCCGCACTGCTTCGAATTGGCTTTTGAGGGCCTTCCCGCATTAAAACAATATTTTTTAGAACTCAGTACAGTTTAGAAAGAGCACTTATTTTGTTTATATCCATTTTTTCTTAAACTAAATTATAGGGATTAACTTTGACAAATCATGCTGCTGTTATTTTCTACATTTGTATTTTATCCATAGCACTTATTCACATTTAGGAAAAGACATAAAAACTGAAGAACATGTGATGAGAAATCTCTGTGCAATAATGTAAAAAACAAAAAGATAACACTCTGCTCAGATGTCACGGAGACCATTTTATCCACACAATGGTTTTTGTCCTGTATTTTTTTCCCACATTTCAAAGTTGTGATATAATGTTAAAAGCTGCTTTTTTTTTTTTTTTGCTCTTTGCATATTATATAGTATAATAGAAAGTGTGAGCAAGGTGATGATGTGGGTGTGGTTTCAGATGTCTGGTGTGTGCAGAGTACTGCATGAGCAGGGTTTTTCTATTATAAAATTACCATATCTTGCCGTTCACAGCAGGTCCTGTGAATATGTTTTTACCGAGTGTCTTTAAATGAGGTGTTCTAGACAGTGTGCTGATAATGTATCGTGTGGGTGACTTCCTTGCTATGATTGTATCCCTTACTTTGTTTTGTTAAAGAAATGCAGATGTATAACTGAGAAGTGATTTTTGTGTGTGTGTGTGTCTTGGGTATGATTGGATTCTTTGGGGGGTAAACCTAAACATTTGTCCATATACTAAACTTATATACATCAAAAGGGATTAATTTAGCTATGCCAAAAAAAAAATTTAAGTTAATCGTGGACGTATGTCCTTTTCTGTAGTCAGTATGCTCTTTCCCCCTTGGTATAGCTGGTATGTGGAATTCAGTAGCTCTGACCTTACCACTTAACCTTTTACCGCCAGACTGCCCACGCTGAAAGGTTAATGGATGTTTTTCCTCCTGCCGTCTTGGACAGCCAATATGTTACCGTGATGAAATTGAGTAATCTATAATTCTTTACATTTTTAGTGCGCTTTGAAGTGTCAAATCTTAACTTGGTTTAAATAATACATTTTCCTAACTTTTGTAAAAAAGCAAAGATTCTTCAAAGTGACATTGGAATAAAAAAATAAGTAAGCCATACATATTTTCTTAGAAGTATAGGTGTATGTATATACTACATAGATAAACACAAAATATTCCTTATTTCAAATTAGTATGATTCCTATTTAAAGTGATTTATATTTGAGTTAAATGTTCAATTTCTTTTTTGCTTTTTAAAAAATCTGATGCATCATATTTTTTGTATTATTCCACATATTTTTCCTTGAAGTTCTTAGCATAATGTATCCATTATTTAGTATATATCTAGTCAACAACACAAGTTTATCAGTGTCTAAACTAAAAAAAAAAAAAAAAAGATTCCTGTGTACTGGTTTACATTTGTATGAATGGCATATTCTGAAGTCTGCTGTGCTTGTAATTGTGACTGTCAGTATTTTCGCTATTTTATAGTAATGCCATGTTGTTATTTACAGCGCTCTGACATACTTTCATGTGGTAGGTTCTTTCTCAGGAACTCAATTTAACTATTATTTATTGATATATCATTGCCTTTGAAAAGCTTCTACTGGCACAATTTATTATTAAAATTTTGAATCCAAATCTCCTAGTCGATGTCATGTTTCATTGGAATTTGTAGGTTCTCTTATCAGCATGTAGTAACTCCCTCGTGCTTCCCCAGTGGTTCGCCTGTAGCTACGGCTGGAACGGCTGGAACTGCTGTCGGAGCCACTGTGACGGGAGGGGTGGGCAGGGAGCCTCTCAGGTAGGGCCTGGGGTATGGAAAAAGGGCTTGCAGTTCGACATGCAAAGTTCAAGTCAGGGTGTGGCTCTGTGACCAACTTCTCTTCTGTAAAATGAGAACAAAAAATAACTTGTTATGGTCGTTGAGTGGATTAAGTGGGATATCTGGTATATATGGTTGGTAATAAAATAAATCCTGAGTAGCAGCTAATTCCCCTGCATAATACAGCTAAACTGAGAGGACAGTTGTAGTACCTGACCTTTCATTTTAATGGCAGATGGTATTAGGAAATTCAGAAAAATATAAGTTTATTTACTTGGGTTAGTCTTTTGAATTGGTAGTCATGTGGTTTAGAAATAGTCACATGATTTAGAAATCAAAATATATAAAAAGATATACAAAAGAGTATCTCCTTCACTTCCAGCCATTCAGTTCACCTCCCCACAGAAAAATGATATTAATTTATTGTGCACTATTAGAGAAATGAAAGTTTGTGCACACAGTATGAGAAAATATGTGTATGTACGTTTTTTGCCTCTTACAAAAATGGGAGAGTATCATGCATATTTTTCTGCACCTGTTTTCTTCACTTGACAGTGTGTCTTGGCAACCTGTATCACATGTGAATGAACTGTTCATCCTTTATTCTTACCACGTGATATTCCATTGCGAGGGTGTTACAATCACACTAGTCCCATACCAACGGGCATTCAGTTGTTTCCGATCTTGTGATTTTTTTCTATTTTAAACAATATTAGAATAAATACCCTCTTAAATAGCCATCATTTTGTGTAAGTGGAAGTAATTATGATTGACAGATTCCTAGAGGTGGAATTCCCAGGGCAGAAGTTAAGTGAATTTGCAATTTTTATTGCCCAGTTGCCCTGCACAGATGCTGTAAGATTCCTCCTCCATGGTTCTCTCCTGCACGTTTTGCTGGGTGAGCCAAGAATGCAAAGCTTGACTGCTCCTGGCCTGGGCATTTGTCTGTCGGGGGTTGCATTTGCAGTGAGCGGCTGTACGGGGGTGAGGTAAGGTCTCTCTCCAGGTCAAAGGCCAAGTTTGCTTACTGCTGCTATCAAAGAGGTAGATTCCCCAGGCTTGCTGTACAGGTTCCATCTGGGTCTTCCAGGTTGCCCCATCGGAACTGATGCAAGCAGCACTTTCTGGTTGTGAAAAAGTTCTTTTTCTTGGATGAGGAGTCTCTTGTCTTGGTCCAGCATCCATTAAAGAATAACAGGCTGACTTCCTAGCTTGTCAGTAAGGGAAAGTCAGATTTTAGGCCTGATGACAGGTTAGGGTACGCCCAACAGAAATAAATACATAGGCGTGTGTGCCTATAGCTTGCCAACCACGCAATGTATTGTCAACCTTTTTGATCTAAGGTGTCTTCATACAGTTTTACTTGACACTTCTCTTATTTTGAAAGAAATTGACCATCTTTGTGTATGCTTAATATCCATTTAAATATCCTTAGTACTCTGGGAGGCTGAGGCAGATGGATCGCTTAAGGTTAGGAGTTCAAAACCAGCCTGAGCAAAAGCACGACCCTGTCTCTACTAAAATAGAAAGAAATTAACTGGCTAACTAGAAATATATAGAAAAATTAGCTGGGCATGGTGGCGCATGCCTGTAGTCTCAGCTACTCAGGAGGCCGAGGCAGGAGGATCGCCTGAGCCCAAGAGTTTGAGGTTGCTGTGAGCTAGGCTGACGCCATGGCATTCTAGCCCGGGCAACAGAGTGAGACTCTGTCTCAAAAAAAAGAAATGAATATCCTTAAAAGCAATGATCCTAATTTTGTGTATCATTTAAGTGTTGGTGCTTAACACCTGCCTTAGAGGAACCCAAAGGATTTCTGTCTCCTTCCTTCATCCCCCCTGCTCAGCTAAAAGGAGCCGTCTGAATGGGCTCATGGCCAGGAAGCCGACTGCTGAGAACGGGAAGAGGGAGACTGCTCGGAGCATTGCAGGCACAGCCGGGGTTGGCGTCAGCATATCTGTGGTCATTTTTGGGTGTGACTGCAGTCTGTTGAGGAAAGAAATAGTGTATTACATTCGTTCCTGGTTTTCCTCACACTCACATGTTCTGTGTCCCTCCCAAATCCTGAAGGCAAAAACATGAGCCCAAACGGTGTGCTTCCTCTGAGTCTTTGTAGACTAGGCTATTTTTCAGCTGCAGGTTTTTGAAATGGAGTTTATTAAATTCCTCCTACTTCCTTCGTAGATGATTTATAAACCAAGTTTAAAGCCTCAGTATCTAATACTGTATTTCTACTCACAAAATTTAGCATAATCAAGATCTTTGCTAGTAAGTGCAAATTTGTAAGTAGTATGATGCTGGTATTATTAACCCCATTATAGCTTCTTCCATCAGAAAAGAAGCTTTTTCTTAGCAAAGAATATTCCACTTCCAAAAGAAGCCTAAATTTAATGGACAGCGTGAGCTTATTCATCTTAAGAAAGGAGGAAAAATATTGGACACTGGTGTGAAATACAGCTTATTGTTTAAGGGAGAAAACCACGCTGAATGGCAGTGTTGTTTTTGTTTTTAACTCACATCAGATAATTTTATAGTTTTTGTTTCAACCATCGAAACTACTCTTGAAAACTCAAGGAAAAAGAAAGTCTGATATTTACTGGTATTTTTGCTTGCTTCTTTTCTTCCTGACGTGCCAAGGTTTTTTCTTTTATCTCTTCCATTCTTTTTACAGAATGCCCTTTAGCCATTCTTTGAGAGGTCTAGTGACAAATTGTTAGTTTTTCTTCATTTGAAAATGTTTTCATTTCTCCTCCATTCCTGAAAGGTATGTTTATAGGCTATAGGATTCTAGGTTAACAAAATCTTTATTGTGCCACTTCCTTCTGGCCTGCATGGTCTAAGAAGAGAATCTGTTATCATTAATTGGTTTTCACCTATAAATAGGTATGGTGGTGTTTTTCTTTGGTCACTTTTCAGAAGTTTAATTCTGAGATGGCTTAGATTTCTTTGGGTTTATCCTGTTTGTACTTCACTCAGCTTCTTGAATCTGTAGGTTTATTTCTCGTGCCAAAGTTTAGAGGCGTTTTCAGCTATTATTTCATCCTGAGTTTTTTCATCGCCCTCCTAACTCACCTTCCAGGACTTTAATGATACAACTGTTAGATCTCTGTTATAGTTCCTGAGGCCTGGCATTCCCCCCCCCCTCCATTTTTCTGTGTTGTTCAGTGTGGGTAATTTCTTTCTTCTATTCTACCTTCTATTCACTAGTCCCCCTTCTGCTCTGTTCCCCCCTGAGCTTTGCATTTCAGTCACTGTATTTTTCACTTCTAAAATTTCCATTTCATTCTTCTTTATAGATTTCTATTTCTTCGCTGAGGCTTTCCATCTTTTCGCTCGTTTCAAGAGTGTAATTACTCACGGAAGCCTTTTTACTATGGCTGACTTAAAATCATACTGGCGCAGTGGCTCACGCCTATAACCCCAGCACCTCGGGAGGCCGAGGCAGAGTTCAAGACCAGCCTGAGCAAGAGGGAGACCCCGTCTCACCAGAAATAGAAAAATTAACTGGGTGTGGTGGCACCTGTGGTCCCAGCTACTTGGGAGGCTGGAGAATTGCTTAAGCCCTGGAGTTTGAGATTGTGGTGAGCTATGATGATTCCATTGCACTCCAGCCCAGGTAACAAAGAGATACTCTGCCTCAAATATATATATATATATATTAGATCATTCTACCATCTCTGTCATCTCAGTGTTGGTATCTATGGATTTTTTTTTTCACTGAGTTTTGAGATCTTCCTGGTGCTTAGTGTGATGAATGATTCTTTTTTTTTTTTTTTTTTGAGACAGAGTCTCACTTTGTTGTCCAGGCTAGTGTGAGTGCCGTGGCGTCAGCCTAGCTCACAGCAACCTCAAACTCCTGGGCTCAAGCAATCCTGCTGCCTCAGCCTCCCGGGTAGCTGGGACTACAGGCACACGCCAGCATGCCTGGCTAATTTTTTCCATCTATATTAGTTAGCCAATTAATTTGTTTCTATTTATAGTAGAGATGGGGTCTTGCTCTTGCTCAGGCTGGTTTCAAACTCCTGACCTCGAGCGTTCCGCCCGCCTCGGCCTCCCAGAGTGCTAGGATTACAGGCGTGAGCCACCATGCCCGGCCTGATGAGTGATTCTTTTTTTTTTTTTTTTTTTTTTCACTGCTTCCAGCGATGAGTGATTCTTGATGGACATTTTTGTGTTCTATTCTGAGACTTTGGATCTTTTGCTTTAGCTGTGTTTCACTGACATTGCTTTGGCAGGGAACGTGGGCGTACCGTCTCATTTTTGCCTGGGAAGGTAAAAGTCCCCACTCAGCCTCTTCAGACAGTCAGGGCTAAGCAGGGGTGGCAGTGCCTCCTCTCGTGTGTCCATCCCACACGAGTGGCCTCACTGCCACTGGGCGATAGTAAGTCTAGTCTTGACTGCGCTTGGCCTCCCCTGACACTGCCCTGGCGGGGCGTGGGCGGGTCATCCTGTCACTGTGGGCGGACACCCAAGTCCAGGCTCCTTGCAGGGTGGGAGGGGCATTACCAGCCAACAGGCGTGAAAATCCCAGCTCCCGACTGGAGCGCTCTGACGTCACCCTGGCAGGAATGTTGGGGCACCACACTGCAGCCTTTCAAGGGTGCCATGCTAGGTTCCCCGCTTGGTCTTTGCTGACATGGGTTGGATGGAGCCACAGTTTCTCAGTGGTGACTTCCTGCAGGAGAGCAATTGTCTAAAAGCTATCTGGCTAGTCTACCGCTTCCCTCGTCTTTTGGCCAGAGAGCGCAGGCTTTTGCTGGACTCTTTGTGCTTATTGGTATTTCTAGTCTGCCAGTTTCTTTAGCTCCAAGTTTGGAATATGGAGGCCAAAAGAAAACCTAGAAAACTCACCGCTCTGTCATTCCTTAGCTACCGAGGTTCCTAGCTGGTCTGCCTGCTGTCCACCTTCCAGTGACTTATGTTTGCTTCATATATAATGTCCTGGAGTTTTGGTTGTACTTAGTGGGAAGAATAAGGAAAAGTACATCTGCCCATCTTCCTGGAAGTTGAAGTGGGTTTCAATTTTAACTGATTAAAATTAAAAATTCAACTCCTCAGTCAGACCAGCCACGCTGCACCTGCTCAGCAGCTCTGTGTGGTCAGTGGCTGCCATGTGGCCAGCACAGGTCCTGGGCAGCAGCTCTCTAGTTCTGCGTTACTCCTTGCATTGGCAAACATCCTGCTGAATTTTGGTACTGGTGTAAGCAGCAGTTCTTCATCTCTTCCTTACGCATCACTGACACTCGGGTGGTGAAGACACCACAGTACCCTTGGGGACCAGGCGCGTCCAACACAGCCTTTGGCTCAGAAGCATCACTCTTTGCTCCTTCCCTGCCCGGCTGCTGCGACTACATGGGGCCTCCTAAAGTCACAGCTTCCTGATTGTCTCTTGAGGCTGGGGACTAATGCCTCCAAAAGGGCCGTCCCAGTCTGTTTTGTGCTGCTGTAACAAAATACCCCAGACTGGGCATTCGATAATGGACGGAAACGGATTTTCTCACTGTCGTGGCCCGATTACAGAACGGGGGATGACACACACAGAACATATACATAAGACGCAGACAGACAGAATTGGCTGCAGTCCCAGAAGAAAAAAGGACACAGAGACAAGAGACGGTTTCAGACTGCAGCCAATTCTGTCTGTCTGCGTCTTATGTATATGTTCTGTGTGTGTCATCCCCCGTTCTGTAATCGGGCCAGGACAAGTGGCACAGGGAATAGGGTCCTGAACCCTGGAGGATCTTGAATCCTGTAATCGGGCCACGACACTCACAATTCTGTACTTGCACAAAAGTCTCCCTCCCCCCCCCCCATCTTGCCAGAATCCGGTTATTTGGAGGTCCTTTCTCAGCCTCTGCACATGTCCTTCCATCGCCTCCTGGCGGTTAATCTCAAGTCAGTTGAGCTTCCTGCTACTTCATGGACCCAAGTTCACAAATGGCAGTGTTAGCAGGACCCAGGGTGGAGTTTTGGGTCCTCTGACGGCAACAGCTAAAGCAGAGGACACAAAAGCCCTCACCGCACGCCCTCCATAGACTGGCCAGAACCACTCTGTGGTTGGTGGCCTCTTATCAGGAAGAAATGCTGGTTATTTGTGTCGAGACCAGATAAAGGGCCGGGCGCGGTGGCTCACGCCTGTAATCCTAGCATTCTGGGAGGCCGAGGCAGGCGGATCATTTGAGCTCAGGAGTTCGAGACCAGCCTGAGCAAGAGCGAGACCTCGTTTCTACCAAAAACAGAAAAAATTAGCCGGGCATGGTGGCGCATGCCTGTAGTCCCAGCTACTCGGGAGGCTGAGGCAGGAGGATCGCTTGAGCCCAGGAGTTTGAGGTTGCTGTGAGCTAGGCTGACACCATAGCACTCTAGCCCGGGCAACAGAGTGAGACTCTGTCTCAAAAAAAAAAAAAGATGGCACAAAGGCAGGAGCAGTATTAGGTGGCTGGTTGCAGTCAGTGACGGAACAAGTCTTTTCCCAAAGGGCAGTTCTGTTTAACCCTCAGGAAAGAAAGCCTGATGCTGGTCCCCATGTGGTCATGGCCATGAATCAGTTTTAAGGTTTCTCTGGACTCCCCTTGGCCAAGAGGGGACCTGTCAGTGAGTTGGCAGGCTTAGTACTTTGTGTTTGTTTCTTACTGCTCTGTGCCAGGCCCCGTGCTCCGCACTGGGGATGCCCGTGAAGAAGGCAGACCTGCTTCTTACGCCCGCGACTCACAGTGGAGCAAAGCAGTTAGGAGTCATGATGCAAGTGTAGCTTGACTGTCTACTCAACGGTATGATGGGGAAGTGGAGGACGCTGCCAGCGCTCCCAGGGCAGGACCAGATCCAGACTGGGAGGCCCGGGGCTGACCAGGAGAGGTGCGGGCCGGGTGCAGCGTGGCCGGAGCTTCACGCGGGAGAACTGCGGGAGGGAGACCTGCGGCTAGAGACACAGGCAGGGGCTGGGTCCTGAAGAGCCTCCTGAGTCTTATTAAGGAAACTGGGCAAGGTTAGCCAGCGCTGGTTGCTGTTGCTCGCAACCAAAGAACTCTCGTGGATTCAAATTGAAGCCCAGAGCCACACATCTCAAAGCTAGCAGGGAACCCCGGAGACAGTCCTGCCTGGACCAAGCCTCTGGCAGATCAGGTATTACTGGCCCTATCTCATGGGCGGGGCGGCTCACTCAGGCTAGCGAGCGCGAGTGACCCTCAGTGTCACGGTGAGTGACACAGTGCGCCAGAGCGAAGCAAAAACTCAGGGCCCCGTCTCACAGGGTGGAGGGGCTCCTCCCTGGCACCTCTTTTTAATCCCATGTGGTTTCCAGCAAAATGCCTAGCTTTGAGGGAATCATTTCAGTAGAGATAGTGACACGCAATTTAAGTACGTCAGTTAAATACAATAAGAGAAGGGAAAAGCCACATCAGCTGGTGAGACAGTGAAGGTGCCAAACCACGTCTTCCAATACTCAGAACAACTTTCTTGGTTGTTTCTTGGTTGTTTTTTTAAAACAACCTCCTGTGTTAAGACATAGTTTTGTTTTTTCTTAACTTCCCTTTTCCTTGACTTAATCCTCCCCTTACCTGACTCTTCTTGTGTTGAACGAACTGATTTGAGCAACTAGCGCTCCATCCAGGCAACAGATCCTTCGAGAAACGGCGGGGGGCGGGCGCCACCTGGTGGCCAGAGTTGTGCAGACCGCAACTGCGTAATGAGGCAAATGCCTGCTTCGGTTTGAAAAAGGAGCAGGCTGCAGAACCGAGATATTTTTCAAAGTAATAAAAATGTATGGCCAGGGGCGCGGTGGCTCAGTCCTGTAATCCTAGCACTGTGGGAGGCAGAGGCGGGAGGATGGCTTGAGCTCAGGAGTTGCCTGGGTACTGTATTCACAGGGTCACAGTGGGCCATTTCAAATATTTCAGGGAAACATAACTCTGTCTGTTAGATGCCACTCTACAGTGTTAGCTCAAGGTAGTTCACAGTTTCAGCATCAGGACACAATACATTCCTTGCATTTACGTGTATCTCTGCAATGCTGGGATGTTGTGGTTATCACAATTCAAAGCGAGTACCCTGTGAAAGAGAATCAATTTGGGATAGAACTGAGGGTGGTGGCAGTGGCCAGTTCTGTTCCAGTGCTTACGGGCTTCTGCAGTGCCCGAGGCACATTTGTCCCATTAGCAACTGTGGTTACTTAAGAATGAAATAAAAACAGCAAGTTTTCTTTCAATTTATATGAGCTTTTTTTTTTTTTTTTTGAGACAGAGTCTCGCTTTGTTGCCCAGGCTAGAGTGAGTGCCGTGGCGTCAGCCTAGCTCACAGCAACCTCAAACTCCTGGGCTCGAGTGATCCTTCTGCCTCAGCCTCCCGGGTAGCTGGGACTACAGGCATGCGCCACCATGCCCGGCTAATTTTTTATATATATATCAGTTGGCCAATTAATTTCTTTCTATTTATAGTAGAGACGGGGTCTCACTCTTGCTCAGGCTGGTTTTGAACTCCTGACCTTGAGCAATCCGCCCGCCTCGGCCTCCCAAGAGCTAGGATTACAGGCGTGAGCCACAGCGCCCGGCCTTATATGAGCTTTTAAACAAAATGGCTATGAGGTTTTCAGACACAAATACTCAAGTGGTCTGGAATACTTAAGTTGCAGTGGGAACTAGCTATATGATATCGGAATGTAGCTAGGTAGATGGCGCTTTTGGTCTTGGGGCAATGGGGGAATATTCCTGAGACACTGAGAAGGATTGGGAAGCTAGCGCGTGCCGGAGTCAGTAGGTCTCCATCCGCTTGGTAGGAAGAAATTTCTCAGTGAGCCCAGGGGTCTCAACGGCTCCAGAATATAGAATGTAGAGTTCTTAACACCTTTTGTCCAGGGCTTTGGGTGTCAGCCACAATTCTGGAACATGAAAAGAAAGAAAACCTGCATGAATCATTTGTTGTACATTTATGCAAAATACAGAAGTGAAATAATCAAAGAATAAAATAAAGATAACATTTTCCCATCCTCTGAGGCAGCCATGCGTACCAGTTTCTCGTGTGTCCTAGAGAAATATAACATTTACTTTGTGTCGAGCCCTGTTCTGAATACTTTGCACTTATTATTGAATTTAACCCTCTGTGGTATCAGTATTGTTCTTCTTCTCACTCCTCAGAGGCTCAGGGAGGCTGAGCAGTGGCCCAGATCCTCACAGATCGTGATGGCTTCAGGGTCTGAGCTCTTAAACTCACTCTGTTACCTGTCCACCCAAATAAGTGCGGAGGCAAAGATCTTAATCCATAGAGTTTGTTAAGCCAAAGTTGAGGAGGCGCCTGGGAAAAAATGAGAACCACAGGCAGACCTGTGCTTGTCTGGCTGAAGGGGAATTTGGAAGCGTCAGCATTTGACGTCATACAGAGGGGCCGTGGTGACATGTACAGGCGAAATGGTTACATGCTTGGGAGGCCTGGGAAATCTAAATTTTTTTTTTTTTTTTTTTTTTTCTTGGAAGAAAAACAGAGTTTCTCGCTTTGGTTGTCCAGGCTAGAGGGGCTGAGTGCCCCGTGGCGTCAGCTAGCTCCAACAAGCAACCTCCAACTCTCCGCGCTGAGGTTGATCCTTCTGCTCAGGTCGAGTAGCTGGGACTAACAGGCATGGCGGCACCACTGGGGCTAAATTTTTTTTTCTATACTATATCCAGTTTACGCGCGCAAATTAATTTCTCTCTTCTATTCTACTAGCTAGACCGCGCGCGGGTCTCGCTTCTTGCCGCTCAGGGTGGTTCTTTTGAAAACTCCTGAACCTTGAGGCAATCCCGCCCGCCCTCGGCCTCCCAAAGAGCTAAGGGAATTAGGCAGGCGTGAGCCACCGCGCCCGGCCGGGAAATCTAAATTTTACAAAAAAATACGGGAAATGTGAGAAGAGAAAACAGGAAGTAAAGGAAGCATCGGTTATGCACGCATCCCTGGGTAGGTGGAGGAAGGTCAGATCCTGTCGTCTGCTCTGTCACCTGCTGATATAAACCTGCAATCCACCATTGGTGTGGAGCGGAACAGATTGTAGTTTTAGGAGCTAGGCGTGGCCTGTGGACCTGAAGTTACATAGGCACGTCCTTGCCTATGGGAGGCCAGGAAGGAACTTCCTTAAGGAGGGCTGTGTGGCCAGCTCTGCAGAGGTGCCTGCAGCCTTTGCCTTTCTTTTGGCATAGGAGTTGGGGCTGTGGCCCTGAGATTTTGATTTTCTTTTTACTTACCTTTTTTTTTTTTTTTTTTTTTTTGAGACAGAGTCTCACTTTTGTTGCCCTGGCTAGAGTGAGTGCCATGGCGTCAGCCTAGCTCACAGCAACCTCAAACTTCCTGGGCTCAGCGATCCTCCTGCCTCGCCTCCAAGTAGCTGGGACTACAGGCATTGGCCACCATGCCCGGCTAATTTTTTGTAATATATATTTTTAGTTGGTCAATTAATTTCTTTCTATTTAGTAGAGACGGGTCTCGCTCAGGATGGTTTCGAACTCCCAACCTCGAGCAATCCGCCCGCCTCGGCCTCCCAGAGTGCTAGGATTACAGGCGTGAGCCACCGCGCCCGGCCTCTTTTTACTTACCTTTGTGTAGGCTTTGGGTCTTGTCTTCTAAGACACGTCAATCTGATAGGAATAAAATGTCAGCTGTGTTGATATTAGTGAAGTTGAACAGTTTCTGTATGCTTACTGGTCATTTGTAAATGCTTATTCTTTCCATGGCTTTCCTTCTGTGTGAACATTCGAAAGCTTTTAAAATGTCACCATTCTGGCCGGGCGCGGTGGCTCACGCCTGTAATCCTAGCACTGCCTGGGGGAGGCCGAGGAGGGCGGATTGCTCGAGGTCAGGAGTCGAAGCCAGCCTGAGCAAGTGAGCGAGACCTCTGTCTCTACTATAAAGTAGTAAATTATTGGGCCAACTGAATAACATATATAGAAAAAATTAGCCGGGCATGGTGGCACATGCCTGTAGTCCCAGCTACTTGGGAGGCTGAGGCAGGAGGATTGCTTGAGCCCAGGAGATTGAGGTTGCTGTGAGCTAAGCTGACGCCACGGCACTCATTCTAGCCTGGGCAACAAAGTGAGACTCTGTCTCAAAAAAAAAAAAAAAAAAAAAACAAAAATGTCACCATTCTCTAGCCTCGTCTCTAAAAAATTAATGTGTTCATTATTTTGAACTACCCAATCAGTCAGAAAAGCTAACTACTGGGACAAACTGGAATCTTCTAAATTTCAGTGGGTCAAATCCCTTTTTTAAAAATTAGAATTCTAATTTCCGGAGACTGAAAACCATTCTCAAGCTTTCCCTTCTTCACTTCTAGATGACAATGGTTATTTGAGAAAAATAAAAAGAGAAGAACCTCCCTACCTCTTCAAAAAACCTTAAAACATTTAGTCTTTTGATAATCAGATTGTGAGTGCTGCAGGAATCACTTAATGCTACTTGGCTTTTTGTTGACAAATGATTGTTTTTTTCAACTCCTAGCTTACAGCCAACAGCTGGGAACCCGAAATGTATGCATAGGACGCAGTACTTAGCGATCATAAAGCCTGGGAAACAAAAGCTACGGGAGCCCAAAGAGTCCAAGGTTGCAAATCTAACTTGGACCACAGGCAGCTGCAGCGCGGGCACCCCTATCCCCCGTGTCAAGGACAAAGCTGCCCCTCCCCTGTCTCTGCAGGAGTTGCTCACTCCCCCTGAGAAACCCTCTGTAAAACCCAAGGCTTTCCCCGCCCTCATGGTGGATGCTCTTTGGCCTCCACCCATCTGCACCCAGATGTTCAAAATAAAACAGCATTTTGCTACACAGGAGGCTTCGTGTGTCTCGGCTCCGAACTTTACACTGGCCTCCATGATCCTCCCATCTCAGCCTCCCAAATGCTGAGATCACAGGCGTGAGCCACCGCGTCCAGCCGAGTTTTTTTCAAAGTGTGAGGAAGAAACAAATGTTAAGTGACGTTTTCTTGTCTAAGGATCCGTGATGTTTGTAACTTAACTTTGCTGATTATTTCTCCATATGGGGACCTTGCTCCGTGCCTTACTGAACTGAGAGAATTTTGAATTGATACTGCCAAGGCATAGATTTAGTCTATCCCACCCAGCCCATCTGAGTTCTGGTAGATAAAGTGAGCAAATGCAGAACCCAACAACTGTTGCTTTACCTAAAGATAAAAATAACTTAAATAGGGCAGGTGTGGTGGCTCATGCCTATAATCCCAGGACTCTGGGAGGCTGCAGCAGGAGGATTGCTTGAGGTCAGGAGTTTGAGACCAGCCTGAGTAAGAGTGAGACCCCATCTCTACATAAAATACAAAATTTAGCCAGGCATGGTGGTGTGCGCCTATAGTCCCAGGTACTGGAGAGGCTAAGGCAGGAGGATCCCTTGAGCTCAGGAATTTGAGGCTGCAGTGGGCTATGACGACTCCACTGCACCCTAGCCAGGGTGACAGAGCCAGATTGTCTAAAAAAAAAGAATTAAACAAATTCTCCTCAAAATACTTTTTTTTTTTTTTTTTTTTTTTTTTGAGACAGAGTCTGACTCTGTTGCCTGGGCTAGAGTGCCATGGCGTCAGCCAAGCTCCCAACAACCTCGAATTCCTGGGTCCAAGCGATCCTTCTGCCTCAGCCTCCCGAGTAGCTGGGACTACAGGCATGCGCCACCATGCTCAGCTAATTTATAATATATATACTTTTAGTTGTCCAGCTAATTTCTTTCTATGTTTTTAGTAGAGACGGAGTCTTGCTCTTGCTCAGGCCGGTCTCGAATTCCTAAGCTCAAATGATCCACCTACCTTGGCCTCCCAGAGTGCTAGGATTACAGGCGTGAGCCACTACGCCTGGACAAAATACTATTTTTAAACTATCTAATGGACACCCATTTTTCATGTAATAGTTTCCTTTTATTTTAATACTGATCTGTCCAAATAACTAACTTGCAGCATTAACAATTACATATTGGCTATGGGCCAGACTTTCAAGAAGAGATTATTCTCACAGAGCAAGTTTTTTCATAGATAACCTTGCTCTCTCTCCTGGAATATGACTGCAGGTTTTCTTCCTAACTGAATTAGTGTGTGTGTTTCAGAATTTGGAATTTTTTTTAAACATTGAAAACAATTTTTTTGTTGTTAAGACAGAGTCTTGCTCTCCTGCCTGGGCTAGAGTGCCATGGCATCAGCCTAGCTCACAGCAACCTCAAACTCCTGGGCTCAAGCGATCCTTCTGCCTCAGCCTCCGGAGTAGCTGGGACTACAGGCATGCGTCACCTTAGCAAGGCTGATGGATGCATTTACAGAGATCTATCAGGATTCTTGTCTGTTTTCCTCTCGTGACTTGCAGCATTGCATTGGCAAGGCGCATGGCTGGATTTAGTGTGTAGACTGTGGCTGCAGACACAGCAAGGTGGATAACACAAGCTGGATGGCTCCTGACACGGTGACGTGCACACGGCAGGGCTCACAATCACAGTGGCTGTGGGTCTGCTGATGGCAGCTGGCAGCCAGTCCAGAGTGGCCTTTCTCAGGTTTCTCCTGCACTTGGGAACACTTGAAGTGTTCAGTTCCTGATACTCTTTATTTTTCAAGAGAGCATGTTAGACTAATGTTTTGTTTTGATCATTTGAAAATGTGGCATTTTAATTACTAGTAGAGAATCCTTAACGTATTTTTAGTTGCAAAGTCTTAAGATTCTATCACCTCAACATTCTCTTCTAGCTTTAAAGTATCATTATCTGTTATGCACAATAGTTGGCTTTTCCTTCTTTGTACTGTGATGTCAGCAGCAGAGATAGTAACTATATTTTTGTTTAACAAATGTTCCCAGAGAGCCACTAGTTTAGGAAAGACAGGAAATATAGTAAAGTTGGCTATAAAGCAAATCCCATGAGTTTCAATTTAAAAAACAAAAATACCCCAAACAAGCAAATAATCCTATATTTCCAAGGAAAAGTGTATATGATACTCAACTAATCACTTTTGGTGGAGAGTAAGTAGGAATGATTTTGGAGCCCATGGTATCATAGTTGTATAAGGAATACTCTGAAAATAGAGAAGATGTTATTTGCGAAACATGCCTGATTTCAGGAACCTTTTAACGCGAGGCATCTACACTTTTCTAGACTATAAACATTTTTCTCATGTCTAGTGAGAAATTATTTGAATTTGAACAACTTTCTCCTTCTCTTCTATTTTAGGATATGAAGAACATATGGCTATGCTGGAATACTACCCCCTCCACCCCCACCCCAGGAGAGTGTTCTTATTGAATAATAAATCAAGGAATAACAAGTCAGGCATTGAAGGGGAGTTAACTAGTAGGCAAATTCTAAAGTGCTTCTAATATTGAGATTCTACAACGTCAATTTTTTCCCTGAAATCCATGGCTCCCAGTTATAACCCACTTTATTTATTTATTTTGAGACAGAGTCTCGCTTTGTTGTCCAGGCGTAAGGATGAAGTGCTTGCGCAGCTGTAGCGTCCAGCAAACTCAAGAACTCCTGGGCTCAAGCAATCCTCGCTGACTCAGGCCTCCCAAGTAGCTGGACTACAGGCATGCGCCACCATGCCCGGCTAATTTTTTCTTTTCTTTTTCTTTTCTTTTTATTTTTTTTATAGCCCGCGTTGTTGCCTATAATTTTTTACTTATATATTAGTTGGCCAATTAATTTCCTTCTATTTATAGTAGAGACAGGGTCTTGCTCTTGCTCAGGCTGGTTTTTTTTTTTTTTTTTTTTGAGACAGAGTCTCAGTTTGTTGCCCAGGCCGTAGAGTGAGTGCCATGGCGTCAGCCTCGCTCACAGCGACCTCAATCTCCTGGGCTCAAGCGATCCTTCTGCCTCAGCCTCCCGAGTAGCTGGACTACAGGCATGCACCACCCCATGCCCGGCCCTATTTTTTGTATATATATTTTAGTTGGTCGAATTAATTTCTTTCTATTTTTGGTAGAGACGGGGTCTCGCTCAGGCTGGTTTTGAACTCCTGACCTTGAGCAATCTGCCGCCTCGGCCTCCCCGAGTGCTAGGATTACAGGTGTGAGCCACCGCGCCTGGCCTGTAACCCACTTTATAAAGCCTCAAAATTCAAAATACTGTTAATTTGAAAGGAAGCATACTCATCCTCACAATTGATAGCATTTTTTTTTTTTTTTTTTGAGACAATGTCTCACTCTTTGTGGCCTGGCTAGAGTGCAGTGGCATCATCATAAATCACTGGAACCTCTAGCCTCAGCCTTCCAAGTAGCTGGGGCTACAGGTGCATGCCAACCACTCCTGGTGAATTAAAACTTTTTTTTTTTTTTTTGTAGACAGGGGTCTTGCTGTGTTGCTCAGCTGGTCTTGAACTCCTGGCTTCAAGTGATCCTCCCACCTTGGCTTCCTAAAGTGCTAGGATTATAGGCATGAGCCACTGTATTAGCCCCTTTTCTTTTTTAAAGGGGTCTAGTTACAAAGTTCTTATGTAATTGCACAAAACAAATGCTTTGGAACTCAAGGCCTAGTCTGAAGCTTTATAAGCCTCAAACATTTAATGTCACAAACTATTCATTTATCTACACTTTTGCAGATATATCACTAACCTTTGGTAATTACTCTTTGTCTCAGCTAGAGTCATTTTGTAATCTTTTTGCAGAATGCTGTACTTAGTTGACTATTAAGTGTCTATGTTAGGCACTATGATTACTCACTTAGTTTCTAAAAAGAACCACTAACTGCATTTTGGCTCATTTTACCCACTGGTGATAAAAGGTACTTCCTTTGTTTCTCAAGCAATAAAAATCTTGTTAATTCACTTTCTCAACTTCGGGTTGTAGAGATGTCAAATACAAGAAACAGCATGTTTTTCAATGGCTTACTTACAAGTAGGCTGAAGAAACATAGGAAGATTTCAACAGAAGAAACTTAAAACACTGAAATAAATTTGACTCTCTGTGTCATTTCAGAAAGCAGAACAAGCACCAAAAGGTAGAAGTCACAGAAATGTAGATGGCAGTTCAAAACAAAACAAACTCCTGACCCAAACAACTTAACAGTTGCAGCTGGTTTGAATACTGCTGTCAGGACCACTGGCCTGGAATGTGGTGAAGGCAACGGAAGCCTTGGAGGTAAGGCTGGATTACTAGAAAGGCACATTCTAAATAATGTACCTTTCAACACGGATTCCATAATTGGCATTACTATTATGAATTCCTTAAACTCGACCAAACTGATCTTACAGGATTCAAGGAGCCAGGTAGTCAAGGTGAGGGTTTTCTGTCCCTGTTTTCTCCCTCTCCTGTGTGAAACAGCCCTTGGGAAGTGAAAAAGGCGAGAGACAAAGTGGGACTTTTCTGCCATAGTGTCGCAGCGGCCCGCTGTCCAGATGCATGTGGACAGCTCTCCTGCAGAAGGCCCTCCGTCAAGCAAACGAAGCGTCCCATCCAGAAATGCCCTCTCCCTGCGTCAGGAAGGCACCGAGAAGCAGGAGGCAGAGATGTTCTGAAAGCAGGGGCGCTCCCAGGAGGAGGAAGGGGGAACGTCCCACGTCTCAGAGATCCGGCGCGGCGCTGGAGCGAGGAGGGCTAGCAGGGGTGCGGGGAGGCGGTGTGGAGGGCGGAGAACCGAGTGAGAGGCTGGCGTCCGGGCCGCGCCGGCGTGCGCGAGCGGGTGGCTGGGCGCGGGCCGCGAGGCAGCGCCACCGTATAGCACGCATGCGCGGGGCCCGGAGCCGAGCGGGACGCGCGGCGACCGCCGTCGGGGCCAACCGCCAGGGTTTCGCCCGGCGCCGGCTGCAGCCGCCCCCGCCCCAGCGTGGCGGCCCGGCTCCCTCTAGTCCCGTCGCCGCCGCCCAGAACCCAGCGGCCCGGCCAGAGCCGCGGACGCCGCGACGCCGGCGTTGACGGCGGCTGCGACAGCCTCGGGAGCGCGTGAGGCTCCGGGGTCGCGGCGGCGATTGGCCGGCCGCGGCGCCCGCTCCCAGAATGCAGCGCATGGCGCGTCATTGAAGAGAGACCATGATGGCGGCGGCGCTGGGGCCCCCAGAAGTGATCGCTCAGCTGGAGAACGCGGCCAAAGTTCTGATGGTGAGGACGCTGCGCCCCCGGGGCCCCGGGATCCGCGGGCCTCGGGCTGGCTCTCCCACGCCAGGCCTTGCTGCCCGCTGGGCTGGCGACCGGGAAGGCCCTCCAGGGAGCCCTGGAAGTGGAGGAGGAGGCGGCGGTGGCGTGGCGCAGGATTCTCCATCCTACTTTACCTTCTGTCTTCGTACCCTCCTTCCTGGGGCTGTCCGATTATCCTGACTGCCCAGTACCGCAGCCGGGTGTCGGAATATAGTGGTGTAGGAAAGAGGGTTTCCTGTGCCACGGGCTTCACCCTGCACCTTTCTCCGTAGACCAGGTCGCAGATCTAGGCGCGGGGCGGGAGGTCAGGTTTGTCCCGCTGGGCTTGGTGTGGGGAAGGGCTGTGTGCGCGCTCCTGGGGGGTTGGTGTCGAGAGGCGAGGGATGGCACGGCCCGCGTGCTGTTAGCAACCCCTGCTCCCTTCGTGCATTCGGGTCCCCTAGAGCTTCCCTGACATGCTGCCACCTCTGGGGTAACCGCAGCCGGCAGCACGTGGATGGACCAGCAGGAGGGAGGGAGGGGAATCTTTGAGACCAAGGTCATTGGGGCAAAACTTAGTCCAGTACCGAGTTCTCTTCGCGTATTTTGGAGAACCAAATCTACAGTACTCTTTGATTTTCTTCTTACACTACAGTAAAGAGTTTGATTTGGTTGTTTACTTAGGGAGTTTGAGAAATCCGAGTCAAAGGATGAAAGTATTCCTTGCTGGGAGTAGAAAATAACGATAAACTACATTCAGTGTTTGTATTTGCTGGCTCAGCTTTGTTTTTGTAAATAATGACTTCCGTGTTTGTAGATATTTTTGGAAGTTAGAGGTTCATTTGATTACTTGAGTTGATTCAGACTAAGAATTGTATGCAGCCAGCTTTGTTGCCTTTTTGAACTTTTCTTTTCCTTTTGGTTTGGTGTGTGTTCGAGTGTCACATTTAAGAATATTTGAATTAATTCTAGCATAGTTTATAATTCTGTTAATCAGATTTTGTTTTCACACAGCACCAGATATTTCAACTTCTTTAAAAATCACAGTCTAATAAAATCAGGGTTTATTAATTTTGCTTTGTTTATGAGTGAAGTCAATGTATCATTTTGTCACAAAACTGAGGAGTAACGTTTTCAAATTCTTAATCAAGTCCAGAAATAACTTGCTAGTATCCCCATTAATACAAGGTTCTTAAAAATCCCTTATATACAGCGTTTCCTGAAATTTTCCTAGGAGCTAGGGGCCACATTTTCATTAGATTCTAGAAAAAGTATGTGACCCCAAAAACACCACCTTAGTTCTTACATTGATCAGATAAAATTAGTGTCCTTCATCATTGGTGTGATATAAATGAAGTATTTGTGCTTGCCAGTACATTCCCTCTCCCTGGGCAAAGCTGGTTTTATCACCTATAAGGGGACAGGTGAGAAGAATAACAATACTGTTTATTGAGTGCCAGATATTGGGCTTGATGCTTTACATACTTTAAATATTTTATTAATCCTTGCAGCAGCTTTACAAAGTTGAGAAAGAGTTTGAGTGACCTGGGTTACATAATTACTAAGTGGCTGAATTCGGTCTTGAACTCTTCTGTTTGGCTCTAAAGCTGGGTGTCTTTCCACTCTCCTCCACCATCTCTCATATATGTCTTATAGATAATCTGTTTACATGCTTTATATCTTTTCAGAGGAGAGTAGTGTTGAAAAAAATGTTATGAAAAGTAGGAAATTACTTTTTGGAAATTTCCACTTACTGTTCAAAAATGTATACCAAAGATGTATAAGAGTAGCAGTTACTATATTATTTCTCAGTACGAACACTGTATTCCAATTTATTATTAATAATGGCTAACATTTGTTGAGTATTTATTATGTTCAAGGAACTATGCCAACAACTTTACATATATTAGCATATTTAATTCTCAGTAACTCTATGAGATCATTATTATTGTTTTCGTTTTCATTTTATAGACTAAGGAACTCACACATGTGGATCTAAGTAATCTATCCAAATTTACATGAGAAGTAAAGCTCAAGTTTGTTACAAGTTTGTAGTTCTTAACATAGAGGATAGTGGGACCAGAAAGGAGGTAGTTTAATCCATTTGGGGATACTTAAAATTGTTAATACTCCTTCGATTATTAAGCATTAAAATATATATCTAAAAAAGTGATTTTAGCATGGATAAATAAATCTGTGGGTCTGAGGAAATCTTCTTTATAGAAAATTGCTATATTTTAATTGTTAATATATTTAACAATGTTTAAATGTTAATATGTTTTGAGATTCAAAGTATTAGTAATGTATTTTAAAATTTTTTTTGCTTAGTTTTTTTATTAGGTAATATAGTTTTTTTATGAAAATTGGCATAGTTTAGTGCACAGGACAATCTTCACAGATCTTTGATTACAGAGGTCTTAACTGACAGAGGCTAGGATGAATATCAGGAGGAAATTATATCAAATTTTTTTAGTGCAAACATACATTTTTGCTAATGGGATGTATAGCTTCTGTCGGCGTCTGTCAGGGACTAGGGACCCTGAAAAATAAGAGCCTCATCTAAGCATTCTCCCTTCCATTCTGCAAATGGGGAAACAGGTTCAAAAAGGTAGAAGTGACTTTTGCCCAAGGTAGATCACAGAGCAAATTAGTGATATAACTGATTCAGAACATAGATGACCAGACTTTCATTTCAGAACTTTTACTTTTTTTCTTATAATTTTTTTACTCTAGCATTTGCTTCTTAAAGTTCATATAATACCATAAATGTTACATTTTATTACTTAGTGGAAAACTTCTGAATGTGGTATATCTATATTCAGGCCTATTAGGTTATCAGATAAGCTACCAAATAAAGTAGTCCAGTCATCCCTTCGCATTGGTGAGGGATTAGTTTCCTGACCCTCCCCCAACACCTGCAGATACCAATACTTGCAGATGCTTGTCTCTTATATGCAATGGCATGGTATTTGCATATAACCTATGCACATCTTCACATATACTAAAATGTAGTAGGTGTTTTGATTTTGGAGACACCATTATTGAAAGACTTACTGTTCCTATAGTATTAATACTACATTCATTTGAAACATAAACCCAAAGAATGCTTTGTTTGTTTATGGTCCTGCATTTCCTTGGTTTTATTCCCCTGTTTCTATTAGGTTGTTTTGGATTGTCTGTAGTGATTGTGTGCAGTGATAATGTAAGATAGTGCACGTATGTTAACTGATAGTAATACATTATAGAAAAGTAGTTTCATATATATGTTTTAAAACCAGAATGGATTTAGTAGGCCTAAATCCAACTCTAATGAAAGGGATTCATGACTGGTTTTTGTAGATTTTATTATAGTGGAGTTTGGTTAATATCCATAAAAATATGTGCAAATTTGTAGTGCTATACAAAATTTCTTACTTGATTCTTACCTCAGTCCTGTAAAATAAATAGAGTGACGAGATATTCTTAAACCTTATAAATGAGAAAATTCTATATTCGGAGACGGTTTTGCCTGTGATCATATAGCTAGCTGGGTTCTGGAATTCAACCTCTGGCCATTCATTTATTTTAGAACATTTCTTGGTATGTATAGGTTATGCACTATGCCATGTATGCTGAGGAGACAGGAGAAGGACCTTCTTTTCAGGGAGTACATAATCTAATGAGGGAGAAAGCCAAAAAATATTAGCCATTGTTGGTTCGTTGGTAATGTTATGATGGAAGTATGTGCTAGTGTTCTGTGAAAGTATAGAGGACAAACATCTATACTGATGTGGGGATCTAGAAAGGGCTTCTTGGAATAAGTTACCCTTAACTGAGTCATGAAGGCTGAATTGGAGTTTTCCAGTTGCATAAGGGATATCCCAGGTGGAAGGCTGTATTTGTACGAATGCCCGAGAGAATAGTGTTTGGGGAAATACAGTGTGTTTGGGGAATATTTGAGCATTCAGATTTTTTGTTTATGAGTAGATATTTCCTGAGCCCCTCTTGTGTATAAGAAGGTATACTGCTTTTATTTTTTTGTAACCAAATGCACATATCATAAAATTTTTAATTGAAACAATTTATTTTTCCTATCGGAAAGATTCATTACATTGAGTGAGCATCTTTATTTCAACTGTCTTGTCTTTTTTTTTTTCTTTTTTAAGATGGAGTCTCACCTTGTTGCATAGGCTAGAGTGCCGTGGTGTCAGCCTAGCTCACAGCAACCTCAAACTCCTGGGCTTAAGCGATCCTCCTGCCCCAGCCTCCCATGTAGCTGGGATTATATGTGCATAACACCACACCTGACTAATTTTTTTATTTTTTGTAGAGACAAGGTCTGGTGTTGCTTAGGCTGGTCTCGAGCTCCTGACCTCAAGCAGTCCTCCTGCCTCAGCCTCCCAGAGTGCGAGGATTACAGGAATGAGCCACTGTGCCCAGCCAAAATTTGTGGTTTTGCATTTATAAATCAGGTCATTCTATTTCCACAGATTTATTTAATCATTGCTAGCTAAGCATAACCTTGTTAACAAATAAAAGGAAGAATGTCTTTTGAGTGAGAAAGAGCTAATAAAAAAACAATAAACTTTATTTTGGAGAAGAGAGTGGGATTTACTCTTTATTCATTTGTAATTGTAGAAAAAATTGGGTCTACTATAAAGTGACAGGATATTTTAGAGTAGGGACTTTCAAAATTTAATACATGGGTAATCAATTTTATGGTGATTTTTAAAACTGCAGATGCCTTTGCTTTAACTATAAAGGTTCTGATCTAGTAGGGTGTGTTTTGTTCCATTCCCTCGTCTTAAAGGGCTGAGTAGGTCTGAAAAGGCACCAGACTTGTTGGCCTCTGTCTCATATCCCACCTGTGAAGCTGTTCCTACGCACTGTCTTTGTTTTCCAGCCCGGACTGACTACATAATTTGCAGGGCCCAGTGAAAATGAAAATGTGAAGCCCCTTATTCAAAAAGCAGGAAAAAAATGCCATTAAAAGTTATAAAATATAA